GGTAGGTTTTTTTTAACCTTTCTAGGTTTATGTACTCTAGGGTTTGGGTACTAGTTATTATGGTTACTTCTAGGTAAGGTTTGTAACTTTTACTTATGGTATGTTACTAAGGTTTAGGTTCAATGTTTTCTTTTACTTGAACATTAATTACAAATTTAAATTTAACAATTTGGATCATATTTGATACATGTTTGATGTTTCGCCTTCGGCGGCGCGCGCTTAGCGCCCGAAAAGTGGCATGCAACGTATGTCAAGATCATATGAACAATGAACTAAATGCAATCCTTGCTCTATTATGTGCGTAGTTAAACTGTGCATCACAGTTTAACTACGCTTAAACTACGAAACTACAAATATATCTTGATAGGAGGAATGTTGGAGAAGAATGTTGGAGAGGAATGTTGGAGAGGAATGTTGAGAAGGAGGAATGTTGAGACCAAATATGATCAGCACAGCTGTCCTTGTATAGCTGCTCCACTTCCAGTTCACTAACATTCAGTTTTCTTTCAGTATAAGTTCTTACTTCTTTGGGGGGGGGGGGGGCTAATTAGATATATACTACAGTAAGAGGTGCACGATAAAAATAAACTTGCTCGGATTTTAAAAATTTTTGTACCAGTGTTTTCTAGAGACTGTGAGAATTTTCACAATACCAAATTTGTCATACCTTTTTGGAAAGATCAGTGAATTTCGCCTAATAATAAGTGCCATATTTGATGGTGCGCGGCTTTTGGAGCAAAAGTAGCTGTAAAAGTCGCGTAATTTGAACAAATTCGTCCAAATTTGACCATTTTTGTCGTATTATTCGGATTTATCTTCAGTTCCTTAAATGAGATCATTCTGAAAATTGGCGACGACCTTCCAATAGGGCTTTTACAACTGTCCGAAAAATTTGGTGGATATCGGAGTTGATATAGTAATCAAAATGGGGCAAAATACGCTGCTTTTAGCTGTAACATAATGTCTGTTAATTGGATGTGCTTTAAATTTTTCGGACACTTTCCTTGTAAGTCTATGAGTAAGCTTACCAATTTTTGTTGCAATTGGAGGTCGGGAAGGATACTCAATATTTATTTGTTTGAAGAAAATTGTGCTGGCCGAAATTAGCGCTAAAAAACCATCCTACAGTCGGCACGCGCGGCTCACTGTCGATGGCGCACTACCTAACTACAGTACAGCTGAACTTACACTCACATTCACAAGCATGCAACTGCAAGCTCACCTGGTCCAATGAGCGGGAAACGGAGAACAAGCTCTGGTGACGTCATAGCCATGTGACCTCAGGCTCATAATCACGTGACCTCAGACCCAATCAACTGGGTTATGATCAGGTCAGCTCCCTGTTACCCGATCTTGAGGTGACGTACGACACCTCGTTGTCCCAATCAATGTCTGGATTACCTGGGGACCTCAGGCAATCATATTCATTAACATGAATAGAATAGAGATTAGGCGGAATGACAGGCTGAGCGCGGCCCAGTAATGTCTGGAAGGCTGCACATTTTCACATGCTAAATTAAATTTATAAGATTCTTAAGGAGTTGTGCTAGATGACGATACATAGAGGCCGTAGGATTATGAGGACTACCAGATCCTGATGGAACCTAAGCGATCCATGATATCACAACAGGCCCTACGGCTAGTCCTTAGTCCTCAGTCACATGACATTCTAGAGTTTACTAAAAATGTTTACAATTATTTGGGCGGTCATGACCGTAAATAATTATGTCCGTGAAAAATTTGGGCCGTGAAAAACTTGTCAGTGACAATTATGACCGATCGATAAGGTAGTAAGATAATGATTAATAACCCATCTCGAGTTTTGTCTTTTAAATACAACTAATTACTGATTACACTGCATTCTGATTTATGGTTGATAGCGATTCAGAGGAAGCTCCGGCCTCCGCGGTTGATCGTCTCTCAACGGATTCTGGGTATGAGGTTAGCAGCAGGTATGATGTTACCATCCCTCGAGCTATTTCGTTTTATTTTACGCATTTCCTTTTTCCTGGAATGTGGATATTTTTACTTTACGTTTATTCCGATCACGTCTGTAGATACTTCATTATATTAGTTTCTATGTTTTCTGCATTCTACACAGTCACCAAAATCTATATGGCTGTCTAACAAATATCTTTCTCCTAATTGCAGCGTTGAACGCACACTACACGCAAAGTGAGCCTCCTCAGTCATTGATCTTGATCATAACCTGATTAACTAGATCACATAATTAATTGAAATTTCTTACTGAAATTAGATCCCAACTGACTTGAAAACCTTAGACCTGTAACATAAGTCACTAAAAATGTGACAGAAATAGCTAGGAAATAGATTCGTAGATTCCTCTACAGCTGGGTTGACCACTTCTGGTTACCTGATTAAGACTTTTAATTGTATCACGTCGTGACCCCCAACGTCACGTATACAGCCGCGCAAACGTGAGGCAAATTAAGATCACAGCTTATTGATATTCGCGGTAATATTCCATAAATCCTCCATAAATTGCAAAATGTTTAAGGTAGTTTCTCATTCTATCCCACCGCCAGCTCTTGATCCACTTCATGTGTCCTAATATAAGCATGGGCTTCAATTTTCTTCGTCCATCAAATTTTGCTGAAGAGTCTGAGGAAACATTTTTAAAAACATGCTATTTTCGCTCGAATTATGTATAACTTTTTGAACTTTTATCGAATTTATCGCTGCTGCCTCATTCATACTCCAGCTCAGTTCAGCAAAGAATTTCCATTAGGGCAGCTGTACATCAGAGTGCATCAGAATTATTGGCGTGGTTGAAATATTATGTGTATTTTATGATGAAATCAATATTTTTCAACGGCCAGTCATAACTTTACTTCTGAATATCGAAATTACAAAATTCAAAAACTGGTCTGTTGACAATCTTTTGAACTTTTCCTTAGTTTCAGAATTTTGTGGTGATGTACTGCTACTAGGCAGTGCGCCATCGACAATAAGACGCGCGCGCTGACCATTGAATGGTTTTTAGCTCTTATTTCGGCCAGCACATTATTTTGGAAACAATCGAAAAGTTATAATACTTCCCATATAACAATTTTGTTGAAATTTGATCAGCTTACGTAAACACTTATGTTCTACTGAACCTAAATTGCTCAGTTCTTCGGGCCGCAAATTCCCTCCAGCAAGCTGTCGGGAATTATCATGCGGAGCCCAAAGAAGCGAAGGTATTACATACTATATTATAAAAGCTCTCTTTCTCCACTAACTGATAAAATAAAAGTTAGTCGAGCGGACGCATCCTGCATCTCGCATTCAGAATCAGGGGAATTGAAGCAGCCGAAGGCTTCAAGTCCAATAATCCAAATTTTTCTCTTTCGTTGTGATTTCGGACTTCGTGTTTATACTGAAGTCTGAACTGTAGTGTAAAGGATTACTTCTCGAATGATAAAGACTGCAAAGGAAACTGACACTGAGAAGTCAAGTAGTGATAGTTTTAAAAGCTTGGGTAAGCTAAAATTTCACGCAAAAGGAGGTCGCCACTCCCCAGGTTATAGTTGCTAACTGACATGTTGTTATTTGGATACAATTTAAGAAATACTGACAGCTTTGCCTTGAAGAGCAGTGGAGGCAGGGTCTCTAATGAGGTGAAGATCTGATGAAATTTATATAGTTCCATAAACTTGGCAAATGAACCATCATACAATGACTGTTGACGTCGATTAGGTATACTGGTCTTGGTGACACGACACTTGGAATAGTGGCCTTGATTCAGTGACTTGATGGAGTAGAAAACGAATACCCAGATCATTTGAGCAGTGTTGGTGCAATATTTTCCACATATGGATGATATCATAACGCTCTACTCTCCTTTTCATCGATACTATTTTATCGATGTAGTGATTTTTTTATAAATGTAGTGTTTTCAGCCGCTGCCAATGGCAATGCCACTAGTCGAAGTCGAAAAAAATTCTAAAAGCGCAATCGTCTGCGTCTCATTGACATTATGACTTTCTAGTTTCTTTATATTGTTTAATCGCTTGAATCCTATTTTTCAGAATGAAGCCCAATTTAAAAGCTTCGCAATACTATTTTTATTTGATTACAGTAGCGAAAGGTTTTTAGGGCAAATTTTTTCCTCCCTCATTAAAATTTGCATATGAAATTATTTGTGGTTTTAGCCTTAGGGGGGAGGGGGTTTATGTCCGCCAATGTCCGTTTCCTTTTTGAACTCTATGAGATAACGGACGTGTTTTTTGGGACATCAGCGGACATTTGACGCTAACAGAAAAATGTTTAAGTCAAAAACTTTTAAAAGTTATCCTGGAAATCTTTATTTTTCCTGCTACCCTGATCTCATTATCTTTAGCGAGTGATTGAGTGCGACCGTATTCTTCTTATTAGCGATTTACTTATTTGTGGTATGCGTTCCCGCACAAGGTCTTGGGACTGTCAACTACAAATACAATTATCTTGCAGATTTGCAAAGATTTGTTGTTGTTGTTGGAGTATAACTTTGTGAGTCTCAGTGAACAAATTCCTGGACAATTGAATTTCATGATACAATTAACTTCCGGTTACCTGATTAAGATTACGCTCATTCCAGAAATCCTCCATAAATTGCAAAATGTCTATTTAAGGGCTGTCCCACACCAATTATACATGAGTCTTACATTTCTTGTTTCATTGAATCATACAGTCGGCTAAGCCAGTTTCTCATTCGATCCCACTGCCAGCTATCGATCCCTGAAAATCATTTCCGGACTTTTGTCTTAAGCATGGGCTTCAATTACTTCATTATATTTTATAATACTATTTTTATTTTATTACAGTAGTTAAAGGTTTTCAGGGCAAATTTTTCCCTCCCTCATTTATCATATATACTGCTATAATACATGTGAATCATTGTATTATTAACATTATCATGAGGCACGTTTCGCCGTTCTCGTTACGTGGATGATCAATAATAATTAATTAATGTATTTCAAAAGAAATTTTCTAAATATTTTTCAATGCAATGTAGGAATAATCAAGTAAGTGTAACGACTATCGATAGTGCTGCACATCTATTTTTATTAAAGATGAAGGTGAGTGATTGACTGATGTGTTCCTAAAGCACCATTTTCATTTAGCAGGGGTTGTCAAGTTCAACACGTCACGTGTTTAGTAATTTCTCAATAAAATCAGAAAAGCTACGTCCTCCTACCAACTCAAACTATCCGGCGCAATTATGGCCATTTCTTATTAATTTGAACAAAGTTTAAGATTTTAACTTATATTATTGACATTCGGAAAACCACTTTGTTAATATTTTTAATTTGTTGTCCTCTTTCAGATCTTGATCTTGGTTCTGTTCGTGTTCGGTGGTACTCTAGCGGAACAGTATTGCTTTCCTGAAACTTCAACTACGTTTTTACAGGAATCATTTCAGTACCATTTTACGAAGATTGCTAGCAGCTTGTATGATATTATGAAGGAAGTGGCTGCTCTTCCGGATAGCTCAGGTAAGTATATTTGATCACAAATCGTTCTTTTTTGTTAACAGGGGATACCCGTACAAGGTCTATTCGAAATATTAGACTCCAATTGATGAGTTGATATCGTCAATCAATGCCACGGCGTATAATTTTAAACCTGTTTGTTTCCAGTTCAGTCTAATACCCCGAATATTCCATGTGAAGATACAATTTATGCTTTTGTTTCAGTTATAACGGATGACTCAGCTGCAGCTTCCGGCAACAAATTCAAAATCGCATATGACTTGTCTGTTGCGGCGCTGACACTCAAGATTGGAGAAGGACGTATGAAGGGCAAGACTAGCCACGAAGTATCCACTTTTAGTACTGAAAATGGATATGATGTTAAAACTGTACGCATGGTAGCTATGTTCACGGATTCGCATGAGTATCAGATGAACATAATCTTTTTTGATCCGGAAGCCCTGACGGAAGCCACCACCACAATGTCTTATACGTATCCAGTAGACGGAGACAACGCTAAGGGCACGATGAACGATTGGTACGTGACGTACACCTTCGACGAGGACGGTCAGTTGGAAGTTTATCTGAGCGACAGGAAAGATGGTCTCCTGGCAGAAGATAGCAAACTAAAGACAACTGACAAATTTCCCAGTAACGCATGGATGTTCTTGAAGACGCAATTAGAGGACAATTATGATGGAGTGTTCCTGGAGTTGTCTATGGGCCCGGATCATCCAGATGGCGTAATCACATTTCAATACCGTAAGTTAATCTGAAAAATGATCAAAGTACATCCAACAAAACATTTTCCTATCATAATACAGTAAACCCCAATTAACCGTACCTTTCCCCTTTCCTCCAAATCCGCTTTATCAATGCAATGGGACCCTGATGTCAAGCACAATTGTCAAGCACTTTACTTCCCCTGAGTGAACATCCTCATCGATTGATTTGATGTTTTTCTCGAATGAATGATTATAGCTAGTCGTATCAGTAACTGAGTAATAAGCCCAAACGTTTTCACAGTTCACACCTATAATATATTGATATGAGTATTGCTGAAAGCACAGTGTAAGGCCTACACGGACCGCCTCTAACTAGCCAATCCCTGTTTACATGCCGTGTAGCAGGGGACTAGAAAGAGCTAAACTAGTAAGCGGGGCATAGCCAATACACTATACTTCCATCATTGAGTATATTACCAACCAAGAGGAAAATTTCCTTGTGTTTGGAATCTACCAAGACGAAAGTTGTACAATCCAGCGAAATTCCGAAGAATCATTCCAGTAGACTAGGCGCATTGCAACCACAGCCACGGAAATACTTATGAGTATTGCTGAAAGCACAGTGTAAGGCCTACACGGACCGCCTCTAACTAGCCAATCCCTGTTTACATGCCGTGTAGCAGGGGACTAGAAAGAGCTAAACTAGTAAGCGGGGCATAGCCAATTATATATGATTCTGGGGCAAAATTTGCAGTTTTTCCGTTTGTTGCGACAGAGAAAAGGCTCTCATCAGGATAAGGAAATGTTCTAAGTTTCAATGTAACAACATCGTATTCATGATCTCAAATTATTTGTTATATAGTAATGTTGAAAGTATTGAAACTGATAGCAAAACAACTTCCCAGCCATCCCCGGAGACTCTATTACAACCAGTGACATCGAAATTGTCGTGATGGGAGAAGCTGGATTCGGTTATATCCTGCAACGGGCAAGCTACCCCGGTAGCGCTGCGGTGATGATAAATGGTTATTCATTCCCGGAATGCGTAAACACAGACAACTGTGAGTAAATCCAAAGTTTAAACCGTTACCATGGTGACTATGCGTTTCCATGGTGACTATGCGCTCGTTCATAGTATTATTAATTTAGTTACGAGCAGTTGCTATACATACTAAGTCGGGGTATTCTGACTCTATAAGCGAAATAATATTATGATTATTATTTAGTTGCTTTTATAAAATAACCTCCTATATTTCAGACATGTATATTGTTCGTGATTTAGTTGCTTTTATAAAATAACCTCCTTCATTTCAAACATGTATATTGTTCGTGATTTATTTGCTGTTATAAAATAACCTCCTTCACTTCAAACATGTATATTGTTCGTGATTTAGTTGCTTTTATAAAATAACCTCCTTCATTTCAGACATGTATATTGTTCGTGATTTATTTGCTGTTATAAAATAACCTCCTTCACTTCAGACATGTATATTGTTCGTGATTTAGTTGCTTTTATAAAATAACCTCCTTCATTTCAGACATGTATATTGTTCGTGATTTATTTGCTGTTATAAAATAACCTCCTTCACTTCAGACATGTATTTTGTTCGTGATTTATTTGCTTTTATAAAATAACCTCCTTCATTTCAGACAAGTATACGGATCTCGTGCAGAGTGAAAATCCCTACTGTCCTCAACCCAACACCGTCAGAGAGGTTGAAAGTAAAATGCCTTACGGTAAATATCATACTAAAGAGACGTGTCAAAGCGATAGATATAGCTGTTGGGATGATACTCATAGCACCTGTAATGCAAAACAAAATTTAGGTAAGAAACGATGTTACTACAAAGGTCAATATGTGTTATGGGACTATTATTGCGATTAGCAAATTTATCCCTTAATTGTCAAATTTGTTAACCAATGGTTGCGGAATATATGGGTGATTGCACGGACCTTATGGGACTTTATTTGGACAGACATTAAAAGTTAGTGATGGACTTTTTTATGTTTAAACGAGTATTATACGGCTGCTTTTATATTGTCTTCGAATCAGTTGGCTGTTCATTAACAAAGCTTGAAGCAAAAAGTTGCCAAATAAACAAATTGTAAGCCAAGAATAAAAATATATCCATCCAGAATTATGTCTGTCCAAATAAGGTACGATAAGTTCAGAGTTAGTCGTAATTGCTACTCAGATTTAGATAGCTCTTTTAACTGTGACTTTCAGTTTGTAGTGTGTCGGAAGCTGATGCGATTGTAATGACTACCGATGAGCACATAGATGTGCACGTGGACAACTTTGGACCGTTTGTCGAAATGGAACTGTCGGAGGGGGATCTTGACAAAGTTATCTTCTTGGGGGAAAGACTTGACTTTATCTGTAAAGACAAAAATGATGGAGCTGAGTAAGTGGTCTACATCATGTATATATGGTCATATGTTTGGTCACATTATTGTATGAACAGTATCGCTGGTGAACCTATTAAACCTATTTTCTTTGGCTATAGAAATGGCGCGGAACAGTTTAATCTGTTACCGCTTGTAACTGCTATTCAGAGCATGGTTTTGATTGCTGGTATTATGTAAAGAGGGAGCTGGGGGGAGAGGGCAGGGGTAGGGGGCTGGGGGCAGTAATTGTTTTTCCTTTGAATATCGTGGAGTCCTCTTCAAACTACAGAAAATTGTGTGTTAGCGAGAAAGTAAGTCTGTAAGTCGCGGAGTCCTCTTCAAACTACAGAAAATTGTGTGTTAGCGAGAAAGTAAGTCTGTAAGTTTCAGGATTATATTATGATTCAATTGATAAAGTTGGAATCCCAGATATGTGTTCGAGTACGACCCGGAAAACTTCAATGATGAGTCTCAGTTTGGATACGACACCATCAGTTTCAGCTGCGTCAACGATTACGCTAAATTATACACCGACTTCAAGGCTATCTTTGATGCCTTGAAATGTGTCCGTAAGTTACTGTTAAAGCTAATTATATGAAAGTGATAGTATTGTCTAGCTTGCTCGGCTCTTTAGTCTCTAGTCTGGGAGAGAAGTAATGTAATTACCCCGTCCTCTTAGACTCTAAGATTCTTATGAGATAAATTCGTGTTTCCAACCATTTCAAACGATTGTTAGTTCCGCAATTATTTAACATATTTTAAATTACAGCTAAAGCTAAGCCAGAAGATGAGCCAGAAGATGAGCCAGAAGATGAGCCAGAAGATGAGCCAGAAGATGAGCCAGAAGATGAACCAGAAGATGAGCCAGAAGATGAGCCAGAAGATGAGCCAGAAGATAAGCCAGAAGATAAGCCAGAAGATGAGCCAGAAGATGAGCCAGAAGATGAGCCAGAAGATTCGCAAGCTGCTATCCTTACTAGCAGCTCAGCCATCATAATTTTTCTCCTAGTAGTAGCATTCTTTTAGAATTTTCTATCAAGTGACCTATTCAATGATCGCAGAATTGAATACAGAATAGATATTACAAAAGGACACGAACCAGACTCAATTAGATTTAGAGCATAAAAACTGTTATTATTATTAAGGCTTTATTAGTGATACAGTTTTGTACAGTTCTAGGTCTTAGAAAGGGGTAGTTCGCATATTACGTAATCACTTATTGGCCCATTTTCAACCCCCTCCAATCCCCCTCCGTATAATCAGTTTTACACATAGCTATTAGTATTGTGTCAAATAATTACACTATCGTAATCATTTTATATTTTATAAATTCCAACCCCGGTATCGGTTCATTACATAATATTAGGGCTCTGGATAGAGCAAGCGAGAGGCCTCTGGTTAGAGTAAGTTTTTATATAATTCTGTTGTTATTGTATTTCAATCCACAATCGCGGTAAAATTGTTTTAATGTTTAATTTCTAATTTCTTATTCATTATAATTGTACAACAATTCCTTATTTGATATTTAATTGTCATACGTTGTATGACCCGCCGCGCACGAAGCTCCCCCTGCATCGTCGTTTCACCATAGTGAAACGATCGTGGGGGTCGCAACGTGATATTGTATCACGTGGTGACCCCCATGGTCGCTTCACTATGGGGCGCGGCGGGTCATACAACGTATGACAAACGTGATACAAGTATTTAATTGTCTAAGAATTTCATTGAAATAGAAATTAGCTTCAATTATAAAGATCAATGATCACATATCACACACGATGTAGTGATGCACCCGGGTTACAGACGACGCTATTGTCAGCACTGCGCGCGCACACACGCACCATCTACTGAGAGTGTGTACTGAGTGCTCATTTGTTGACGGATGTAACTCGTCTAACTTTCTTCGAAGTAGCGCGCGCCGGGCCAGACCATTAACAATGGACAAGCTCATTTGTATGTTTTTATAATCTATATTACTTGTGAATCAAGCGCGTCACGCATTATATACCGAGCTGCGAAGAATTAACAAAGTCAAGTCTAGTAACCTCTCCCAAGCTTATTTTGTATCACGTCGTGACGTTGCATCAGACACCCACGCTCGTTTCACTATAGATACAGCATACAGGGGTTCACCTAACCATGTGCTTTCGCGCCGCTTCGGGCGCGCTTGTTTCACAAGTCAAGAAAAGCACTTATCCACGAACCCCGATGGGAAGGTTCGTGCGCGCGTGCGCAATGCTGACAACAGCGTCTTTGTAGAGCAGGTAGTCTTGCACCCAACGCGAGCTGACTACTCAGAATGCGCGAGCACGTCAACATAAAATTTTTCGCGCCCTACAAACTTCGGTAGACCTTATAATTTGCGACTGAACGCTTGCGTATGTCGTAGTTCAAGCTGCGCGCGCGGTATGAGTATTTTCATTGCATCATACAACATAAATTATCGGATTATAAGTAGAAGCTATTTGTACAGGGATTTTCTCATCGATACTTTAAATGACTAATCTTTAAAAAACAAGGTCGATTCTTATACAATTACAATATATTTTGCATATGCGCGTTAAATCAATTCGTTATCATGTAATAATGTGTGTCATACTTAAAGCTAGGAATATTTGTGTAATATGGATTTTCATTCTAAAACATGGAAAGATTTCATCAATTAATGTAACTTGGTACCATATGGTTTATTTGATCTTATATGTTATCGATCTATATAGTTTTACGTTATCGTGTATCATGTATTGATAGTTATACATTATTATTATACAACGAGTCCAACCCAGCGCGCGTTTTGGTAGTTTATAAACCTACAAATAATTTTATCCCCTGATAAACTCCAAGATATTATACATCAACGGATTATAATCTCATTGTATAGTCACATAACATGATACCATGACCTAAATTTTGACAAATGGCTAAGCTCTTGACAAAAATTATAACCTGTAAAAGTCATAAAAATGATAACTTCACATAATCGGGTGGAAATCATGCTTTTTAAAATTTTTCACGAAAGTTTTTAACAGCATATTGTTTATCACATTTTTTTACACAAGATTTGAATCATGTTGTAATTTTGTTTTCCAATATTTTGATCAAAAATAATTTTTATTTGGATTTCAAAGTACGCACTACGCCGCGCAGTTAGAAATCGTAATTGTTCTGAACAAGTGAGATTTGAGATTTAATCATTATTTTCACAAGTGAGTCGATATATTGCAATCCCATCTCTTTTCGTTGCTGCTCACAGCATAGAGCTTCAATGCTCAAACCGTATATCTAGTTGATAGTAAAGTAGTATAGAAGTAGTAAAGTAGTATAGAAGCTGTTTCGTTGCACATTGAAATACAGATATTACTAAATGATCTTGAGAGGTTATTTAATGTAATCGATTTAGTGTTACTGCCTTTAAGCTGTGATGTGCTGGAGACTACTAAAACTAGTTCTAGTATAGAAAAGCACAGCGGATTTTGCTATCATGTTACACTTTTGTAGATCAGGATCGAATTTGAACGTATTACTCCTAAACAGATTATTTCAATCCTGCATTATATGGAAATATCGATAACCCATTCGAGCCTTTTTTTAAATGTGTTTATGTTTTTGAAAAAGTATATTATTGTGATACTTCCATGTATTAAATCGTTTAAATGGTATGGTAAAGAACAGTACACAGATACTTATTCTTTGATGCCCCGAAACACATTCCTAGCTCTAGATCTGCCTTACATTTCAATAATGGCTCTTTCATCACATTTGCTTGATAACTGCTGATTTGTAATGCTTAAAATTGATCCCACTCAGTTTGACTATCTTAGGTTAGCTGTAATATCGAACTCTACAGTAGCTTCCTCTCTCATGTCGGAGATCTCAGGAGACGACTGGGTATTTTGTGTCAAGAAGAGGTTAACCTCCCACTTAACAAGATAAACATCAAATTCATAGGTTTGTCTCTATTTTGATGGTTACTGATACAGCAGTTCATGTGTTTAAAATGTATGGGTTAAATTCTAATTAAATTCGGTAATAAATATTACTGCAAATTTTGTTAACGGTAAAACCATTGTGTATAAGACAGTCAATTATCTCAGGAGTGCCAAAAAGGTACCGTTTAATCGAGAGGACTTCACTGATGACAGAGATGTGGAAAAGACTACGTCCTTCTCTGGAAAACTACAAGGATAAAATACCCACCTTCTTCGGGAAAAAGTCCATCATATGCGAAAGGTAAATCGTTTATTTTTGAAAACCCGATCACGATCAAAGCATATACAATTTGGGCATGTCCCAGCCAAGTTAAGCCGAAAATCTGGCTTTGAAATCTTTAATTTGAAAACACCCAAAAATGTAGTTAATATACCCCTCCACCATACCAGATCGATTTTAAGTCAGCCAAGGCATAATTACTGCCCAAAAAGCCTGTTCCAAATTTGTCTCAATTCTGTTCCAGAATCCCAACTTCTCTGAAACCAAAATGGAACATTGCCCACAAAGCCTTTTCTGAGGATGCTAGGGCCACCAAACTTTTCAAGGACACTCCTGGTATCGATACCAATCGATTCTGATCGCCTTCAACTCAGTTTAGGCGATTTTAGGGTAAAGTTCATTTTTGTTCATTTCATGAACCAGGGGATCATTTTGCACTAAAAAGGTTTTTTTAAAGTTGAACAAAAAATGTCACAATTTGATGTGTGAAAATAGTGCTTTCGATGTGAAACTGGATGATTCTTGACGCACCCTATCCCTTCGGTGGAGTATTAAATTTCAAAGAAAAAAACTTCTGAGTTGCTGAACATGTTAGTAAACAATATGCCCCTCTACCATACCATATCGATTCCATGCCAGTCCAGGCATAATAACCGCTAAAAAGCATGTTTCTAAATTTGTGTCAATTGTTTCCACCATCTCAACTACTCTGAAACCAAAATAGAAACATTGCCCCAGAGCCCTTTTTGAACATGCTAGGCACACCAAACTTCTCAGGGACACTCCTGGTATCAATACCGACCGATTCCAATTGGTTTTAGCCCAATTCAGGCGATTTTAGGATAATGTTCATTTTGTGTTCATTTCATTCATTCCATGAACCAGGGGAGTATTTTGCAAGTCTAAGTGGCTGGAAATGTTAGTACATGTGTCCTTCTACCATACCAGATAGATTCCAAGTGGACACGTTCAAAAAAAGGTGGCACTAGAGATTGATTTTTTTTAAATGAGTTTTAAAAATGGTCATTGCTCTTTGTTGGTTGATATATCTATCTATACCTTTAGAAATTCGATTAAATTTCATGATCCTGAAATCACGGAGTCTGTAGTGCTTATATCACAGGAGTTATCGTTATTTGTGTGCCAATGATTCAAAAATCACACAATTAGAAATGCAAGATGAATCAACACTAGATAATCTGAAAAGTACTATTCACAAAGACGCCAAAATTGATATGGTGACTATAATGCATGTAAGGAATAAAATGTCTTATCTGAAATTGTTATTGGTGCCAAAATGATTCAAAAATCACAACTTAAACATTGGAAATGAGCCTATTTTGAGCAGTGATTATTGAATCATCTTACGTTTTTATTGGCTTTCTATCATTTGTTAGGGTACAAAATAGTATTAAATAGTATTAAAACCAGTTAATATGATTCAAAAATCACATTTTCGTTATTGGTGCGCTATTAAGTCTCACTATAGTAAGCCTTAAATTAAGTGCACAATATGACAACATATATCCATTCTATGGTTCTTATTATGTGATTTTTGAATCCATGTCTAAGCTTATACCATATTGAAGGCCTTTGAGCGATAATTTTTGATCTGGGTGGTTAAATGATTCAAAAATCACACAAATCTGGCTACCAACTATGTAATTTTCTTTAAAGTATGACAATTGAATCATATGTAATGTTCAAGTTGTAATGACATTTTGAAAAGAAAGGTAATGAATCGATAATCACATTTCAAAAATTCAATTAAGTATTATACGTAACTGATTGATTCATTTGTCACAGTATGGAGACAAAATTATCATGGCTTGAGTAGTAAAAGTACTTGCCTAGTTTAATCAGTTTAAAATCAGTGTTTTGTGATTATTGATTCCACTATTACTCTAATAACGAACTTCTCCATGACCATAAACAAGTGCAGTGTCACAACAAATTATTGCAGATTTACTATGAATACCAACCTGATATAGAGCCAAAAAGTGATGTTGTTGTTGTGAAACCAGTATTTCTGGTACCCATAGGGGATTTGAAATCAACTTATAAATCAAATGTCATTCCTCAAAGTATCATAATCAAACCCCGGGCGAGTCCAAAATTAGAAACCTGAGTATTGATTCATATGAAATATGAATATCTCTTAAACGATAAAATTTCCTGAACCAGATCTGACTCGCTATGTCTGTTCAGACATGTTTGTCTGCCAGATCGTGGTACCTGAGTCCCTTCATTGCCGTGCATTGAAATCACACAATAACACACAAAGCTAGAATCACGG